GGGGACTTATAGTGCAATTTTATTATGTATACGATGCTCACAACATTGCAATTTCATATAAGATGATACAATCCATACGATAGCTCACAATTTAATATATATATTATACAATACGGTTATACGATATAATATAATGTACTGCAAATACGTAAGATATGTGATACAATAGGTAAATTAACATGCTTACAGGGTTAGCATAACAAGACACAACAATAGGTACAATACAATACTAAGAGTAAATAAATAGAGTATGTGACAGTATATAGACAAATGCAATGTAGAAAAATACATATTGTCAAGTAATTGGTAATAATTCTATGCAATATGCAATACAAGACATATGATACAGTATAAAATCGATAAGCTACGTCTATGATACTATTTATAATTTAATGGAATATTTAAAGCAAAAAGAGACCAAATACTACTTTAACTTTCATACAGTATTTTAACACAATTGCTAGTTCAGTAAAATAATTAATACAATATTTAATTCAGTACGTATCTCAGGGTATAAAAGAAGTGCAATATATATATTCTTAATAGTATGATGCCTATAAGGCAATGTTCTTAATAACTAAGCGAATTAAATGCAATACTTTGTATACAATACACAAAGCAACACTTCAGTACAATACTGAGGATAAAAAGACATATTTTGCAACAGTATATAATACAATGCAATGTATAAAAATACCTATGATCAATTCAATATTATTAATTCTGTGCAATATGCGATACAATGCAACAATATAGTTATACCAATATAATGTATAAAAAACTACTTATGATCAATTCATATTAATAATTCTGTGCAATATGCAAAACACGACATATAATTCAATATAATCAATAAACTAAATCTAAAAATCTAAAGTCTAAAATTCGCATGTAATTCAATAAAATAGTTAATGCCAAGTTGAATCAAGACTACTTATAACGTTATGCTAATAATCCAGTTTCTGTATTGCAAAGAATTTAATTTACAGTTCCATACTAAAGCATACATAGCGATACGATGTTCATAATTTCAATATGTTGCATCACATATTCTTAGGGTAGAGCTTATAACTCAACATAATATTACATAACTACCAACTTAATACAATAATTAATGCAAGAATTAAAATAATAAGTAAATTAAGTTAATAGACTAGTTAGAATATAATGCAGTACTTAGAGTGCAAATATTGTATATTGTAATTATAATGAAATATGATACAATGCTAATAGTTTGATACAATAGTTATTACAATGCTCGATACAATATTTTTGATATATAACCAGATTAGAATACTTAATATGTAGCTTGTAATTCAGTAAGATAGTAATACCATATGTATAGTTTGAGGTTGCGAGTATAATACTTATTGTGCAATATCTTATAGTGCATTTAAAATACAATACAATTTTTAATAATATTTGTAACAATACTGGGACTATTAAAAAGAAAGAATTAGTTATAATATGTAAATAGACAAGAATGCAACTGGAGTGTACAAAAAATACAATTGTATTATGAAAACACTATGTAAACAGACAAGAATGCAACTGGAGTGTACAAGAATACAGTTGTATTATGAAAACAGGAAAAAAAAAACCATTAACATTAGACAACCTGACATAGATCAGATCCATAACTGTGGAGAATGTCCATAATTTTTGAGAGTTTTCTGATAAGGTACTTCTGCTTAATTAAAAATTTACTAAATGCTAGTTGATTATCCACAGGGAAAGGAATGTGAAATTCCTCCGTTAACGGGCATGTAGTAATATAATGTTCAGGTATGCCTAGAGTTCCGCAGACACAATATTCACTATTTGCAATTCCATGCTTGTAAAAGTAGCTTGGAAATGGACCATGCCCCGAAATATATCTTACTAGTTGATGATTTGTTTATCTGACGACATTGATCCACATACGTAATATGATTGTACGTTCGTCGACCAGTTTCATCAGTATCCCATTCTAGTTGCCATTGGGATATAACTTTTAAAAGAAGAGCTCGTTTTAAGTGAGATGTTGGCCACTTAAGAATCACTTCTTCAGCCTCGGCATCGGTATTTTTCGGCAGCTGATTTGGCTAACTTATCTGCCAAAGTATTACCGTGATCCCCAGCATGGCCCTTAGTCCAAGCTAGCGTGATGTTATTTCCCACTTGATTACGAAGTTCACATTGGATGTCCGAGATAAGCGAAGAAGAATGTCTGGGGTTTTGAATCGCTTGAAGCGACGAAAGACTATCAGTGATAATTATTGCCTCCATAGCACCACTTGTTTTACAGTGTTGAACTGCTTTGAGGATGGCTAGGGCCTCCGCTTGAAATACACTATTATTTCCATGGAGATGACCCAGCCACTGATAAATTGACTGACCATTATGAAAAGCTACAAGGGCACAGCCTGTCTGTTGATCTATTTTAGATCCATCAGCGTAATATTGAATGCTTGGGATAGGTGGCAGTGTTACGTCCTTAAGGAAAATCCGAAGTCCTGTTCCTTGAAGGACTGGATGCACATCCAAATGTTGTGAGAGTTGTTCATAGTGCAATGGTGTGAAAAGTTCATCAAATAGGATGAAAGGTTTTTTCGAAACCTTGACGGATTGTATTGCTGCTTCCTGCAGAATACGTAGATGAAGAGGGATCAGTCCCGCCATGACATTTAATGCACTGGATGAGGTAGTACGAAACGCCCTAGTTATCTGTAAGGCAAATTGACGCTGGAGACTTTGCAAGTGGCGCACTTTGCGACCCTGCATGGGTTCAGCCCATATAGCAGCCGCATAGGTGACCATTCTCTCGATAACGGGAGATAAATAAAGACCTTTTGTATATAGGGACTAATTCCCCATCCACGACCCTGCATTTGACGCAATTTACATGCAATTATAACAGTTCGTCTCTTTAGTTCCAAAACATGCGGCATCCAGTTCAGTTTCTCGTCAAAGATAACGCCGAGAAATTTGAGCTGCGGTTTGATAGGTATACGTGTACCATGAATGGTGATTCGAGGCCGTCGAACCAAAGATCCTCCTTTTTTAGGGATTAATAAAATTTGCGATTTTGGTTCGGAAATTGTTAATTTAATTCTGGAACATAAGTTATAAAAGAGATCACAGGTTTCAATAGCATTTCTTTGCAACTCTTCTCGAGTTCGTCCTTGAATGATAAAAACTGTATCATCTGCATACGCATATGCCCGGGTATGTGCTGGCCAGTTTGCGGCAATAACAGAATTAAATGTTATATTCCATAAATCAGGGCCAGCACAAGAACCCTGCGGACAGCCTCTGTTTTGTTGTCTTGTAATAATGCCATGATTAGTGGAGTAGATAATTTTTCTTTCCGACAAGTAACTTTGAAATGCAAGAAATAAATTCTGAGGACAATCAGCTTGTCGAAGTGCCTCCAGTATTGCAGGCCACCACAGTGAGTCAAAAGCATTCTTAAGATCTATACTGATGAAAGCACTGTGGTGACCATTGTTGCGATTACGATGTATATCTTCTGTAATTTTTGATAATACTTGTAGGGTAGACCTACCTGGTCTAAAGCCATATTGGTGATCACTTAAAAAGTGAATTTTGTGAAGATAATGTTTTAAACGGTAGACAATAATTCTTTCATAAACTTTCCCCAGAGCAGATAAATAGACATATAGGTCGATAAGATGTGGATAATTGCGGATCTTTGCCTTTTTTGAGAAAAAGAACCACTCTTCCAGCTTTGAAGATACGAGGAAATACACCATTAAGAAATAACTTATTAAAATAATCACAGAAAAAGAAGATGTGGGAATTAATGATTACACGAATTATAGAATAGTCAATCCCGTCGGGGCCTGGGGCCCGTTTTTTTGGAATACTTCGAAGAGTGGTTTTAATTTCTGTAATTGTAATCTGTGGATCATCCTCTGTGTTAGGAATAGAAGTTTGCTGCCTAATTGACAAGTGCTCTGGGGAGTCATCTGTAATATCATCCTGAGGAAGAACTGATGCTAGAATATCATTAATAGTATTTTCTATTGGGCTAGACCCAGCAAGTGATGATTCTGAAAGATACGTTGATGCAGGCTGGAAAACTTATCTCGAGCGATCTTATAGGGTAAGCCAAATATTTCTCTATTTGATGTGCAGTATTTTCTCCAAGCTTCTATTTTGCTCTGCATATCAGAATCATCCGTTTATACAGAGCACGCTCTCTTTGAAAAACTTGAAGAGTATTAGATGTTATTCCATTGCGTCGTTCAGATTTTAATCGTCGCCTAAGCGCACGACACTTCCGCTGCTGTATGCGAAGATCAGAGTTCCACCAATGTAAAGTATGGAGCTGCTTGGTAGTTCGCTTTGGAAGTATTTCGTGACAAATATCTTGAAGATTTTGCATTAAGGACTCTGAAAAACGTTCAATATCTTCAGATATGGTTAAAGAGTTGATTTGGTGACGAAGACGATTAAGAGTTCCACGAACTTTTCGACTAAACTGATTAATTTTCCTGCCAGGAAGATTATAACGAGGTAAGATAGGTAAAGAACTATGTTGTGTTACTTCAAAAGTGATATATTTATGGTCAGATAATGAAATCTCATCTCTGACCGTCCAATTACTTGTTACGTGAGAGGTATTGGCGGATATAAAGGTCAGGTCCGGCCAACCCACAGCATATAGTCTGTCGAAAGTAGGAATTGTATTCGTGGCATTGAGTAATACATAATTTTTAGAAGATAAGAAGTCTTCTAACAGACGGCCTTTGGGGTCTGTTGTTCGATAGCCCCAAGCAACAGAGTGAGCGTTAAAATCGCCGCTGATAATCTGATGTTTATTACCAAGAACTCTTGTATAGTGTTCCAGGAAAGAGATTGTAGTGCTGATATCATCTGAGGGACTGGAGTAGATCGAAAATAATGCTATAGTAAAATTTTCTAATTCTAATAAAAGTGCTACTTGATCTTTAGTAATAGTAATAATTGATGGAGAGAATTGAGGGTTACAATTAATTATTGCTGAGCGTGGAGAATCTTCTGAATTTTTGATGATATACAGTCCATAATAAAGGAAAACCAACCACTTTGCCATGTCTAGTATATGGCTCTTGAACGAGAAGAAAATCAATTTTGTTGCTTAACGCAAACTCTATTGCCTGGGCAGTTGCAACTTGAGCTTTCTGAAGATTAATTTGCAAGAATTTGATGTTAGGAACAGAATTACATGAAACATTATACTAGGCATCTCTACTCATAGGTGGTGATGCTTCGGATTCTGTCAATATTACTTTGGTAGCAGTAACAGGTGTTGGAGTTTGCTGCGTGGTCAATCGGGACTTGATATCTGCTGCCGTTGTTATAATCGATGCAATTGATGCATGCTGCTGTATCGGCATCGGCCGAACAGTTCCTTGGTATCGTGTTGTCCAGCACACAATGCGCAATAGTGGACGCTGCGGCAGTCTTTTTGCAGGTGCCCAAAACGTTGGCACTTGAAACATCTTTTGACATTAAAGTGCTCAGTGATAAGGTGGCCTTGCCAGCCGATGTAGATGCGAGGGTTGCACATGAAGGTTTGATATGCCCTTGGGCTGCACTCGGCAACCCACTTGACATTGCGTCGCTGCTTTAGACGAAATATAAGTTTAACTTCGTCACTAGTGAGGCCGAAATATAAGTTTAACTTCGTCACTAGTGAGGCCAAAGTCTTCTTGTATGGTAAGCTGTAAATCCTCCTGTGTCAGATCTGGGGATAAATTATGAATTGCAATAAGGGGTTTTTTTGTTGTGGGATTCTTTACGTTAACAAATGTAGCTGCGTGATCAGACGTTAAAGTAGCTGCTAATTTTTTCCGATCTTCTTCTGACTGGCAGACCACCGCCAATCCACCCCGTTGGATAGGTTTGATCCGTTTAACTTGGACTCCAAGTTTCGGCAAAAGGAAATTCCTGGGAAAGTTTATCTCTAAGCTTCCTGCTAGTTGTGTTCTCTTTGGATATATTAGTAAAGTAGGTGTAAGAACTGACGGAAGGAAGGATTGCTGTAATGCAGATGCGTAAGAGTGTCCAGGAGCTGGAGAAGGCAAAAGCAGGGGGATTTGGAACTAAAGGAACTTGCTGCAGAGATGAAATAATAGGTGGGTTATGAATAACTTCACAGCAGACCACTGTTGATGTATTCACCTCAGCCTCAACTGTGGCTGGTTTCGGGATGTAATCCGGGCCCTGAGAGCCAATTGCCGTAACGCATCCAATGAATGGAGCAATTTTTCTCGTGGTTCGAAAGGAAGTGTATACTTTCCTCCTCGATAGAGAGTTGCAATGGCACGAATATGATCGTATAACAAATTAACTTTGTCACTATAATTGTTATCAGTTGCAAGCAATGCAGTAGGATCAAAGTTGTCATTCACTGGGTCATCCGTAAACGAAACTGATTGTTGAGGCATAGCGATGCGTGAATATTACATAAGCTCACACTAGGTAATTAATTTCCCATAAGAAACAGACTGGTATAATATAATTACAAATGACGTTAATATGCTTTATATCAGTAAAACATAATTAACATAATGAATAATAAATAAACATAATGAATGTTCAATATAAACAGAGAAATATATATTATTATATAAAATAATATATATCAATCAAAATATGTATACGATATGTAAAGGCACACAGAAAAGGCTCAGAAAGATATAACACAGTTAAAATAACAGTAAACAGTTTTAAAAACTATGGAGAATACACTGTAAGGAGTTTGTCGAAATTGCACTCGACGACGTGAAGGAGTTGTGTCGAAATTCACAAACGTTTCGACAAAATCAAGTATCATGTTTAAACTAGTATTCCGAGCCCAATGAAACAGACCCTTTGGTGTTACTAGCATATTTATAAAGTTTCAGACAGCAATCAGAAAATTAAGTTTATTTGGGTCCAGATTTTAGCTAGGTTCCAGAAAAGGTTAGTCTTAAAATAGTAATATCGAAGATAATGCAGTTATAGCCATATTGAAAATATAATATAATAGTATATGAAGAACTTACCAATTTGCCGAAAACCCGGTAATCCTAAGTGCATTAATTACGAAGATATTGATTTTTGAAAAGAAATCACAGATTTCTGGACTTAGATTTTTTCCGACGTACTTCCTAAGCCTAGTACGGCAACCACGTGGTTGGCCAGTTCGGCACCCTTCCGTTACAAGGACGGCATATGAGGTGAACAAAATTATTGAGCACACTTTTTCACATATTTTTTGAAAACTACGATGATGCACACATACTAATGCGATGTATCCTTGGATTCAGCTCACATTCACGCACAATTTGATTTATCACACGCACTTCGCACTGTGAAATTTCGACTTGAAAAATCGAAAAATAGCAGGAGCGCAACGCAGCGTTGTCTTCACAGGTCGACTGTCCAAACCGGCTCGTTCGTGTAAATTGAGCATCACTGAGCAAAAGTACAGCGCCTATGACAAAGAGCTCTTAGCAATCTATTAAGCTGTAAAACATTTTCAACATAATTTGCAGCACATGGTTTTTAGAATATACACGGACCATAAAGCTTTAACCTACTCTTTTTTAAAAACGTTTGAGTCAGGTTCCCCTCGGCAACTCAGCCACCTCTGTTACATATCATAAATCAGTAAGGATATTAGACATGTTACTGTATTTCCGTGTTTCGATTCCAGGCGAAGGCGCTGCATATTTTTCATCTTGCCTGCTTTGAAAAAATGCCTAATGTCTCTACAACTGGATCCGACATTATTGCAATTGACATTTTATTCCGGATAAATGAGA